AATACAGATAAACTCAATTTATATTCCCATTTTTTCGGCTTTTAATCAGAAAGAATGAACATCACGCTTTTCAGATGGATTAACACGTGGCTGATGAGTCATCCTCTGCTTCCGCGTGGATTAGGCTGAGGATTTAAACTTACCCAGGGTCTAGCAATCCACCAAAGCCTACTGGCTTCTCAAGACTTCCAAGTTGATATTGGCTTGATGGTAAGGGGAGGATCAATATCATTGACATCATACATGTGCCTTTAGCCCTTAATGTGGGCACAGTCTAGGACGACATAATCCTGCATCAGGCTCCCTAGTATAATTGTATGTAGACACAGGGAAAAGACGTAAAACACAAAGGCTTAAAATGGAGACGGACACAGATTTTCAAAAACGACGACCAATTAACCCACAAACGCAAAGCTATTGTCTGTCTCACAAACACACACAAACGGCAATCTGACTCAGAAACAAATGTTGTGTGCAAAACAATCCAGCCTTCACATCCGTGATGCCCAGAGGCCCGGCTGAGGCCCTCTCGCCTCTGGGTAAGCCCCCCTAAGCAGCAGCGGGAAACAGGTGTGTCATCTGTGGGTCCTCCACCAGACGTTCAGCCCACCACCTAATTACTTCAAGAAGGTCTCCCATCGTCTGGAAGGCGCCCTCTAGCACGTGGAATTGTGCTCAGCGTCAAAATTACAGGGCTGAGAACAGGCTTTATCATGTACGAGGCAACAAGGAGGAGGAGGAGGGAGGAGAGACCGAGGATACGACAGGCCGACGGAGAGGGCAGAGGAGGAGGTGGAGAGACGGAGAATACAATAACCAGAGAGAGGATTGAGAAGCTAAAAAAATCTATATGCATTATGAAAGACGGTAATGAGAAACTGCATCTTCAACAAAACTGGTCCCTCTCTCTTCTAAGCATCAGTCTCTGCCTATACCCTCAGTGATGTTTTCAAAGGGATAGCCATAGACATATGCTGTAGTAGGGGCCCTTATTTCTGCTGTTGTGGATGTCCTACTGGAGCAGCGACCTACCTGGCAGATGCGGAGGGCGTTGTCCAGCACGGTCTTGGTGTCGGTGTTATAGTCAGAGCACGGCAGGCTGCTACGGCTGAAGTGGGCCTGCAGCAGCAGGTGCGTCTTGGTGTGAGGGCTGTCGTAGGAGTGCGGATTCACCTCCAGGGGGAGCCGCTGAGCCAGCTCGCTGTTCAGCTGGTCCTCATTGTGTCTGACTGGCAGCTCCGCATACTCCTCCGCATTCTGGATGAAGGAGAGGAGAATCAAAGGCTGGCCTCAGAAAGGAAACCCCCCCCTCTTCCTCCCACTGAGAAAAGCACTGATCTTTTTGAAGAATTCCCCAGTGGCCCTTGAGGTTGGAGCAGTGACCAAACTCTCAGTATCTCTCTACTCCCTGCTTAGTAAAGTCACACTGGAGGAAGGAGCAGTGACCAGTGTCTCAGCGTCTTTCTATTCCCTGCTCAGTCCAGTCACACACTGGAAGAAGGAGCAGTGACCAGTGTCTCAGCGTCTTTCTATTCCGTGCTCAGTACAGTCACACACTGGAAGAAGGAGCAGTGACCAGTGTCTCAGCGTCTTTCTATTCCGTGCTCAGTACAGTCACACACTGGAAGAAGGAGCAGTGACCAGTGTCTCAGCGTCTTTCTATTCCCTGCTCAGTACAGTCACACACTGGAAGAAGGAGCAGTGACCAGTGTCTCAGCGTCTTTCTATTCCCTGCTCAGGACAGTCACACAGGTGACTTTAACCATTAACTCCTGGCACTGAATTTAAACTTATTACTAATTATTTTTCCTTAATTTTTTCTGATTTTTTTACTTTTGATTTTTCAGACACTAAAAATTCCGTCTGAAAATACACCAAACTGTTTTAATTACATCATAAAATTCTGGAGACCCTCCTGAGTTAGTTAATAATTCCCAAAATCTCAAGAAGTAAATTTCTGAGGTCAACATTTAACTTTGAGGTCCACTGTAATCATCGTAGATGTGCGCTTGTTGAATCTCAAAACCTTTGGCCGAATTTTGGCTGCTTATTTGAAATCTAATATTACCTGGAGAGAATTACTCTAAGATTAGATGTCATTACAGACAGGAAATATTTTGATAAACGAAAGCCTCGAGCATCATTTCTACACAGCATATCACCACCTTACAATCAGTGTACGATAGTGCTCAGGCTCATATCTACAACGTGCAAAAAACAAACCCATCGGGCCTGACTTGGTCTCAGGTTCCTGCTTGGCACCTTAGTTAGTGCGGCATTTGAATGTGGACATTGGTCGCCATGCAGATTTTCTGTCTTTTCCCAGTTTCGAAATGAGCCCGACAAACAGTTCAGATTTAACACTACCCCCCCCCCAGGAACTCTATATCCTCATGCATTTGCTTTCAGGACAAAGTCACCCCCGCATGCACAGGGGAAAACTGGACAGCACTGCAATGTGCTTTGGGTGGCTGACTGGATAAAAGGGATGGGGGGGGGGATGGGGGAGCTACAGAGCATTTGATTAGCGGCTACACCCCAGTAATGAGGGTACACAGAGAAGCGGCCGGACCCTTACGCTCACAGGACGGGGGGCGGATTAGGACAGCAGGGGTGCCTGGGCCCATTGTGCGCACCATGAGAGGGGCGGAACGGACACACGACGGGTTTTATATCCCTGTCAGCATGATGGGGGGGGGGGGGGACTACTGGTTAACTGGGCCTGGAGTTTAGGACGCTGAATGTTCTCCTGCAAGCAGCAAAAATGACACTCTCTGCAAAGACACCTGTATGCCAAGCCTCAAAATTTTGCAAATGCTCACGACGTGAATTTCAATGGTTTATGTTTTAATGGCTATTTTCTTTTACTGAGACTGTTACATACATTTTAAGGGTGTAACAGACAAAAATAAAATCAATGCTGTCCATAAATCAGCAGACAGATTTATCTGTAAAAAAAACAAAAAAAAAAAAAACAAAAAAAAAAAAAATCCAAGCGCTCCACCTGTAGAGAAAGACCACTGCTCTCATGGATCATTAATCATTATAGCTTTGTGGGCCCCTGAAGACAGCCGCCGGTTCACACATTATGTTCCTTTAGTATTGCGATGAGACTAAATGCACACGCTGTTCCAGAAATGTGCTGAATAACTGCTTCACTGCCAGATTGAAGAGACGGGGAAAGACTGCAAAGGAGCACTCTATAAAGACCCCTGATATTCTGTTGGTGCTGAGGAACCCTCCAGTCTCCTACTGCGCATCAAGTCGGCTTCAGAGCCCTCAAAGTACAGGGCATTACATTCGTAAAACATTTACAGGTCGAAGCAAAACAAAATTAAATCAGTAAAATTCTGAGCAACTTTATGTGTCTGTGTGAACAACTAATGTGCTGCAGGTTTGTCAAAATGTACGTGAAAATACACCTTGAACAATTAAAAATAAATAAATAAATAAAATCTTCATATTAACACAGTGGTCTTGCTTTGGATAGTTTAACTGTAACTGATCCTGGAACAGTGGAACCCCACTCAGCCTGTACTGTGCCCCTGCATATGTTAACACAATTGCAAAAAATTGTGGTTTGCATTACATAACAGTTTCCCAGTATCGCACAGAGATTAAGCACAGAGGCCTGGTCACACACAGGACAGCATAGAAAAGCGACAGAGGCGACAGGCAACTGGGAATGCTGGTCTCCCCCGAGGACAGGCTCAGGTTACCGCTGATACTCTCAGGACACTGCTCTCCAGTTAACGCCGGTAGCTTTCCAGGAGATTAAGGTCAGCCGTGGCCCTTGTCTCAGCACACCTTAGCTACCCCCGCCATCCCCGGTCCAGGGTCACACAGAGGGCAGTGTGCAGAACCCCGGGAAGGAACCCCTCAGCAACCCACACAGACGACGCACAGCTACCGTCAGGCCGCGTAAACATAGCTGGGTGCCAGGCCTGCACTACAACTGGTGCGTGCATTGTCAACTGAGGCCAGGTGGGGGCAGCACAGGCTGAAGGTGTGGTTTTAGGTGAGCAGCGGTACGCAGAATCACGCAAGAGATCAGCGGAGACACTATAACTGACCAGAGACAGCTATTAACATCAGTAGGTGCTATTTCAATTTTCCCTGCCAAAAATTCACATTAAATATTTAAATTAAATACTTAAATACTTTATTGAAAAAAGGTCATTTTTACTTTCATATGTATATGCATGCATTTTTATATTCTAAGGAATATTTGCATTTTAAATCCGCTAAAATCAGATGCAAATATACAAATATCATACATTACTTCATGACCGGTTATTGACCGATAATCCAATGACTGCAGAATTCCACGTGCTCGCCTGTTTGCCTCGGCAGAGACCCACAATGAGATAATCAGACCAGCACTCGCTCGCTTGGAAAATGTGACTCAGTAAGTGAGCGCCTGGATATTCATGAGTGTTCATGATAAACAGATACCCTCTTAGGGAACACTAAACGTTGCAGAGCTGCCAGTATTTCAATGCACTTCCACTGTACGCGCAGTGCTCTGACACGCGGCAAATGCCACGGGCAGGAGACATGTTCCCCTGCTGCTGAGCTCAGCGATTATTCAAACTTGAAATTCATAATGGTTAAACGCTCCTCAAGAGGCAGATTTCTGTGCTGTCCACAGAGCGCAGACTCATCATTTACAACGGATGAGGAAGATTTGTCAAAACGCAAATAGCAGGCTGTATGGGTGAGGAAAGCCTCGTCCCCTGCTTTAGACATAATTTATCGGAGCAAATAACGGAGCAGATGTCTGATGCTGAAAGGTGGCTTGAAGCATTTAGAAACATTATGCTTATGTGTTGTACTGAGGGAATTAAACAAAAGCAAAAAGACACTGCAAGGGTAATGGATTTTTGTAGACGCTAACAGTGGGGTTAAATTTTCATCAAGGAACAATTACCATAGTCAGAAAGCAGAAAGTGTTGCATCAGAGGAGTTTGTGTATTTTTATGTAAACCTGAGCAGGATACAGTTCATTACATACTACAAATTATAGATTCATATTAAGAGGCTTTCATGATGATAGTATAATTTTCTCATTCCGGAAAAGGAAATGTGATGATTTATACGATGTATGCATTGATGACTTTCTGGAATTTCTGGAACCTATGTATGAATTATATTCAGGGAGATGAAAACTGAATGACAGAGAATCACTGATTTGCCAGGTATGATTTCCTTATGGCTCCCCCCATCTTAATCCCTCACTCCCATCAGGCCCCCAAACTGTCCATTCAGACAGTCCCTTAACTTTACAGAAGTTGGCTTCAGGAAAACGCTGACTTTACCATAAGAGCGCCACTGTAAAGATCCACCCCTTTATGAATCGCTCAGCAAAATTCTCTACAGTGAATGGAAAGCTCTGAAAGCTGTCAGCTTCAGCCAGTTAAAGCAATTAACACGTATAAGCGTAGGAAGGTGCACATTTTGGCATTTAAGACAGAAGCCCTGCAGGCCACAGTGTAGGTAAGGTGCGGACTTTAAGCCAAAGGATAGGAGGTTTTAATTGCCCCAGTTAAATGACCAGCTGGTTAAAAAGTAAAATGCAAAACTTTGGGTACTGAATGCATAATCTTTTTTTAAATACTATTTTTAAATGGTTATATAATTCCAATATTAAAAACAAGCCATATTTATTCATTCATATATAAAAGTCATATTCACTCAATGGAAAATCACACTGGATCATCCACCAAATTTGAACACTACGCTGTGAGCGTTCTAATTGAAGGACAATGCTTGCAGAAAGCACCTTTGTATTCCTCACTGTAGCTTAAGCCTTTCCTGACGCGAACAGGGAGAGTCTGCTTTTTCTGGAGCTTTCTGACACACGGCAGAGCCTGGTACCCAGGTGTGACAGACCGACGTTTTAAATGTCCTCATTGCAACAAATCAGTTATTTTCTATTATGATTATGTAGTGAAGCGGGTAGATTTTTCTATAACAGTTTTCAGCTAATGAGGGCCCCCCCCCATACCGCCCACCCTCACGATGTGTCTGCACAACCTTAAACGTTTCAGCGGGAATCTACAGGTCACGGGGGTCGTTTAACGATCTGAGACAGATGCAGTGTCACCGGCGAACAATCAGGGTGTGAAAGCGCTCTGCATCCTAATTGGGCCACTGCACCTCCGGACCACAGAGAAGACAATGCGAGAACCACTCGGGGGGCAGGACTGCGCTAATGACACGCAGGAACAGGGCCTCTCGTTTGTGTGTGGGTGTGTGTGTGCGCGTGCATGTCTGTGTGTGTGGGTGTGTGGTTCAGTGAACTAAGAGATGAAGGGTGACAAAATATAAAAATGACAATTAAAAAACAACCTTCAGAATTCAAATTCTTTCAGAGGCTTCTCGTATTGTCTCAGTACAAATCCTGTAAACCTTTTTTAAAAAAAATACTTTAAAAAAAAAAAAAAAAAAAAAAAAAGACAAAAGATTCATGAGCAGCAAACAACAATCCCATGATTCCCGTGAATCCCTTTAAAAGCTGGAAAAGGGCAGTTCGTGCAGTGGTTCTGCTTACAGTGAGGATGAGCAGCAGGTCCTGCATGGAGCTCTCCGCCTTCAGGGTCTCCTTAAACATGCGGACCGTCTGGTGCTTCAGGTAGTAGTAGGAGGCGATGCGGCCGTATGTCTGGGGCTCGATGGAGCGGTTGTCCTGCGGAGGATCATGGCCACAGGGTGTTGATTAGTGACACTGTTCGTAATCTCCGCTAAGCCATTAGCCGCAATTCAAGATGGGGCACGGCAGAGGCAGCAACCCAAGGGCAGGACAGGTGCCCACCTGTGCCGTGAGGACACTGCAGCCATGCCTACTACCTGGCATGATCACCTGACATCAGTATTCACACATATCCAGTGTAGTAGCAAGTAACATATGTGTCCTTCTCAGATCTGGTTCCATATCTCCTCATTCCAGTGAACGCCGTGTACACACTTAGCAGGTCCGCACCATGATAACTGAATGCACTGTCACACTTCACTGAAGGAGGTTGCTGCATGGTTCTCAAGAAATGTCAAGATCGCTCAAAGTACGAAGCATTCTGGTTCTAAGTGAAGGCCTTACTGTAATCAGTGTTTGTGGTCAATGACAGATTACAAAATATTCTTTTATACCGTGATCAAGTGATAGACCTCACACTGACCTGTGACAAATTGTTCTTTCTGTACTGTATGTTACATAAATCCTTAGCATATTCTACTTAAATGGCCTACTCTACTCTTTAAAAGACAGACAAGGCTGACTGCGTGCTTAGATATTTACAAACCGTGCCTAATGAATGCAGGAGATACAAGACTATCCCCTCCTAGCATTGCAAAATTCTGGGAAATTTCCATTAATTCCCATATATTTCCAGTAAGTCCCACGGAAAGTTTCCAACTTGGAATACTGCCAAAATTCACCAGCTTAACTTCCCATGGAATGAAAAGTTTCTGGAAAATTTCTGAGAGTTTACCACCCCATTGCAACCCTAATCCCTCCCCTTGGTGAAGAGAGAAGTGTCCTAGATGGATGGATGACATGAGAGTTGTCAGTAGTGAGTGCCAATGCTGTGATGAGTGGCTTGGTATATGCAGGCTACACGTACAATGTAGCAGAGGGCTAAGGCTAATGAGGGTAAGGCCAAAAACATTGGCCCATGCAATGAAGTGTGAGCCCATACCTTCCAAATCTCCCATACCAACAGCTCTACAGGCCCAACAGCTCATACACATGACTCTTAAGGCAAAATGGATACGGACGACGAACGTACCTCCTGTATCTCTATGCAGTAGGAGCTCTCCAGGTCACGCAGGCTCCGCTCCACCAGGTTGGACAGGAACTTGTTCATGCACTCATGGCTGATGTCATCCAAGTTGTAGTAGCTGAAAAAGTAATAATAAAATGGGAATTTGTAATCAGGCCACGGAATCACAGCCAGACGGTGACGCTTCACCAGAGCTCACCCCCCAGCCACCAGAAGACGGAGCAGGAAAAGTTTAAAGAGTGTCTGAGCAATAATTCATGGCAGTAAAACACGAGCCGGGAAAGTTTGGAAACATGTAAACAAAGCATGTTTCACACAATATTGATTTACAAATAACCTGTAAAGCGCACACTGTCACGGCCCATAAGTTTTATTTCCTGCCTAATGACACTAGAACTGTGCTGGGGGGAGGAGGGGGGGCTGTAAAAATGGCCACATCCGCAGGTATTGGGTGTCCCCTGAATTTAGACAGAGGCCACACAGCAGCAGGTAGCGGCCAGGAGGCGGGCCAACAGTGCGGACAACCAATCAGGGGCTCTGTCTGATGCTGGCAGGCTACATAGCCAATAGCGTAACTGGAATACGGTACTTTCACGTCGTAAATAATAGCTCACACATGCATTCTTAGGATTGGTGTTAAAATTTGCCATCTTGATGCTTTATAGACATCATTTTGCCTGAAACATTTTCAGTTTGGATAAAAAGAACAGATTTGTTCACATAATAATAATACTACATATATATATAAAAGCTACATATATGTTTCTAAATTTCAACACAAACTTGAACTTTTTCTTGTTGTGAGACTGATTGATGATTCAATCAAAGGCAGCATGAGGTCTTGCTCACAGATGTTCTTGGCGGCGAATGCTTCAAAGCAGCGTGTCTTAGCGGATCGTGAGCCGCGGACCGATGCCTGCAACAGCACGTAAAGCTACCCGGACACTTCACCAGCTGATCGCTGGGTGCCTATGAAAGGCAGCCTCCCTCCCACTATAAAGTGGGGGGGGGGGGCGGCAGCGACGATTAAGGCCAGACGATTTGGGCAGTGGGGGGCACGTTGGAGGATGAACGGCTAGTCCTGGGCCTACTCCCGGCCTGGGGCAGGCAGCTGGAAATGGAAGCGTCCAAAGGAGCCTTAATGTTATCACTGAATTACTCCCAGACCTCAGCTGGTATTAACTGAAATCAGCAGCCGTGGTGGGGAGGAAAAAAAAATGGCTTCCATGTCCAGCTTACCCCCAGTAAAAGCTACCACATGAGGAACAGGAGGCACTGAAGTGCGCTGTGCTCTTTGTTAACTCCTAATGACAGATGCCATTTCTGTGCGTGTGTGTGTGTGTACATAAGGGCTGCAGAGCGAGTCCATATGCTCCACACTGCTCATCCTCCCAGTCTAAGCACCAGTGTGACCATTAACTTAGATTTACCACACAGAGCACAGAAATCAAAGCGCTATCCCTGCCAACGCTGTTAAACAAAACGACGACTGACACTTATTATATTTAGAATGCGAGTGATGTGATAGACGGAAGTACAATAAAAGCAAACATAGCTGAGGGGGAGAGCATGGACCCTCGAACAGCTCTGGGTCGGCGAACATCCCAAATGCGGGAGACGTCAGACGGCACTCATGAATGGGCTACAGACAGAGTGCGGGCTTCACACGCACACGGCACACGGCACACGCACACGCACACGGGCCTAGATCTTGGGTGTTGACCGTATTTTTGCTTTTAGCGATGCCAGTGCTGGGATTCTGGGACAGTTCAATAAGCCTGCTGTCCCCCAACCGTGCTGAGCCACATGGCCCCGCCAGTCCGCGCACGTGGCCCGTCCTCGGCGTGTAACAGGTCACCTCACCCCCCTTTGTCATCGCGCCGCATGCTGCGGACACAAATGCACTTGTCAGGTTGCTAATTTATTGGGCCTGCGGTTACTGCACCTTGCCGGCACAGCTGAATATTTACAAGGCAGTTAACAGGTGGCGAGTTGTTTAATGGTGGCAATCAGCTTGCAGCCTGGGGGGGGGTGGAGGGGGTGGGGGAGGAGCATGGCCAATTTCGCTAGGGCCTCCAAGACCTTGGCCATTAGCACAGTCCCCTGAGGGGCGTCCCCATTTGAGGGGCGTCCCCATTTGAGGGGCGTCCCCATTTGAAGGCTGCCGCCTAGCTTTGTCGAGCAGGTCTTTCACCACACACCCCGCACCCCTGAACCATCCCAGCTCAACCTCTCGCCCAGCTTCGCTGCCTGAACCACGTGACACCTCGCCAACAAGCGCTCGCCCCCATTGCTGCTGATGATGATGTTTGATGATGCACGGAAATCAGGAGAAGCCAAATTGGGGGGCTGTTCCTGTTGACTGGATGCTAATAGTAACACAAGCATGCTTTACTTTACTAATGTCTATCATCTTTATTTACTCTGTCTACGTGGAACGCCATTCAGTTATAACAGTTCAGTAATAAACACGAGCATATTCCAGTTTGAAAAATTTGTTTAATTTACACGTGGGACTTTTGTTTTCACTCACTGCTGCTGCTGATGCTGTTACACGCGTAGCTAAGGCTAGTGGGCAGCAGAGTGATCATATATCAAGGCCCTGATCTGCCCAAAACTGCTCTGCTGGCACCGGACAGCTGACTGCAGGGTCAGACCCTGAGCTTCTCACCTTACAGGAGGCATATGTGACAACTAAAGACTTCCTACGTACCTGTACAAAATTGATACTCTTATTACAGGCAGGCCTGCGGTTACCAACCAGATCCTTTCCCTAAGTCTGTCTTTAAGTTGAATTTGTAGGTAAATTGTAATAGGAACATATGGTTCTTATTTAGCAGTTAGTCAAATGCTTGTCTTTGTATACAGTTTATATTTACAGTACTGTACTGTAACAAGCCATGCAATATTTTCACAAGTATCACAATTTAGTGCGTGTGTTTGTTCGTTCGTTATTACGAGCCATCGTATTTAACCCATGTTTTTTTTAATATAATAGGCTTTATGGCAGTTTGTTCATAAGTATGAGTTCTGAACGTTCTAATGAAGTATGAACGTTCTAATCCCGGGGAATGCCTGTATTATAAAAGAATTTGATAGGCACTGCTAATCAGATAAAGGCTATAAAGGGGGCCTCGGGGAAAGTGGCCGTCTAGACTGTCAACTCAACAAGACTGAGCAAATACTTGATCAGACCACTGCAATGGTACAGTATGGTCAACACGGCCATTGTGGAGTGGACAGATTCGACAGTCAGGATGTATCCCACCCCTCTTCTCTCATCACGCTACTGGTGAACTTGGGGAGGGCGTGTTGGCTTTGGTGGACGAGCAGAGCGGCTAAATGCAGCCTGACAGCCGTGAACATGCCAGCGTGCTGGAATGCATCTCCAGCCAAAGCAGATGTCCGCCCCTCCCTTCGAACCCCTGACCCCCGGGCCAGGGGAGTGACATCACCACAGACCCTCACATTTGACCAGGGAAGATTAATTGGTCTTTTTGATGGAGGGGGGACAGTAAGACCTTCAGACAACAAACCTATTAAGGAAGTGAAGTGTACGAAGATGCCCCAAAATGGCAGATATAGCTGAACTATTACGAGCTGAGCTGACCAAAAAAGCCTGATATACTGCATTACAGAAAAACGAATAGTAGACACAAACCGTGAGACGTGAGCTACCAAAAGAAAAAGGGAGAGGAGGAGGGTAGCCACGTCCCCGCCCCCCCAAAGAGTTTGCGAATTACATGCAGCACAACACACAAAATATTGCATCACTGGGTCAGGAATCACTCTGCTTTGGTCATCATCTGGGATGGAATGCAGCAAGCACACAAACACAGGACACACTGATCCCTGGAAGCAGAACAACTCTCTTCCCAGCACTGTTGACAATCAATACTGGAAAAGCACGTAACTCTATTCACCATTAACGCATCAAACAGGCAATGCATTTCAGACACCAAGAGAAACAGCTTTTTCAGCAGATTTTCAACTTGTTTTGTAACGTTCAGGGAAGATTGCAATACACATGTAGAGCAGCAACTACAAATGGTACATATTACAAGTAATGGGTATATCAAAATAATGACCGAATAAACAAACAAAAAGTTCTGGTATTAAGAAAGAGGCATAGACCAGGATCACATGGCTGGAAATACCTGGGGTTCATGACCAGACGACGGAAGAAGTACGTCCAGGTGATGTAATCCATGGCGTCCTGCTTGGAGGTAATCGTTCCTGATGCTATTTCAGCATTCAAGTGATCTGACAGGACGCCCAAAAGACTGAAGGGAGGATAAGAAGCCAACCAATACTGTTAGCATCAAAACCCATCTCCCAGCGTAAACACAGACGCCCACATGCGCCGTTCTCAGAACACATCACCTGGACTCCACAGGGAAAGGCTCGTAGAGGAACTTCTTGTAGAAATCCTTCTTGATGTCATGAACGAGAATGACAGCCTTGCCCTGGTCATCAAACTGCGGCCGCCCTGCACGGCCCATCATCTGAAGGACGTCTGGGCGAGAAACAAACCACATGTGGAACTGCAGAAACCGTCACCGACGGCACATAAGTGAGAGAGCGACAGTGCTGAGGAGCTGGGTCCGGTACCGGTGATGGGGTAGTCCACATAGCGCCGGGTCTTTGCATCGTAGTACTCTGTCCCTTTGACGATGACGAGGTGGGCGGGGAAATTGACGCCCCAGGCTAGTGTGCTGGTGGCGATGAGCACCTGGAAACATATACATTCAAATAAAGAAAAGGAAAGAAAAGATCGGGATTAAAGCCTACATGCAATGGGGGGGGGGGGGGGGGGTGACCTCTTATCAGAGTGTAATCAGTATGAAATGATCGTGCCAGTGTTTTTCAACCCAGTTCTTGGTGACCCCTGGACAGTCCACATTTTAGGTCCCTCTCAGCTTCCAGCACACAAGAACCAAACAATCAAGAACCCGAAATTGGGAGCTGGGAGGGAGCAAAAATAAGGACTGTTGGGGGAGGACTGGGCTAAGAGACACAGGATTATTCACTTGCACATCTGAACCGAGTGTGTGTGACCCGTCCAGAGAGCTGGCTGCATTGTCACCTGGATCTTGCAGTTGACAAAGAGCTCTTCCACGGTCTTCCTGTCCCTCTCGTGCAGGCCGGCGTGGTGCAAGCCGATCCCAAACGCCAGCGTCAGCTTCAGGTTGGACTCGCGCACCGTGCCGATGATGTCAGTCATCTGCCAGAGCAGATATAACCGTGGAACTGAAGGAGGACTTTACCCAGAGCACCGCTGCCCACAAAGAGGCACACGAGGGTCCGCAAGCAGTATTACTGTGCGCTGTTGTCATGACAACAAGGATGACTCTCCACTGGAAGGACTCTCTAAGTTTGGGTCTCTCTAGATGTGTGGATATATACTGCTGTAAACCGGAGTTTTCTAAGCACACCTGCTGAAATAAAGTGTCTGTACTGGATGTATAAGCTAAACCCTTCAAACAGTCAAAACACAAGCGATCAGGCCAGCAGATTCATGGATTTCTGGGACCACTGGTTTACTCCTAAGGATGAGAGATATTCATTGTATCCTCACATAATACGCATTATAATGTGGATGTATCACAGTATATCAAGGCATCCAAGACAAAATCAGTTCTGCCTTACAATACAGATCCCAAGCCAGCTTTCTGTCACAGCCACTAAAGGCTGCTGCACCTGCAGGTTCTGAAATCAAATAGGAACAGCATGAATCAGGTAGGTAATGGTAACAAAAATTCCTTTACCCTGATTTGTGGACTGTGGTTGAATAATAAGGATCCAATTTTCCCTTCTCTCTCCTAAGGTCCACATCTTTATAAATCTGATTCATTTTTATTTTATTTTTTATTTAGTATTTTTACAAGACTAACGTGGGTTTCCGACAATAGCTGTCTGTGCAATTCATCCCAAAATGTCAAACTGGTTTTATTGTTATCCTGGAAAAGAAAAAAAATCACAGGCATCTGTTATCCATGCACAGCCAATAGAAACAAGAAACCTAGATAGTGGACTAAGAATGGAGCCCAGTTCCGTACATTAATCCTGACTAATATTCTGAGCCCAAAGTAATGCACTGAGGGTGGTGGCTAACATCTGGGCTTGGACACTACGCCCCGCATGTCTGGGCTCCTGTAGCGAGACAAGGGCAGTACAGCAAGCCAGTACGACAGCAGCGAGAGAGAAGAACGGGAAGAACGGTGGGGGGGAGGATTTGGGACACCTGCTGGGACAGAGGCAACATGTGCCAGCTGCCTGTCACTCTAACAGCAGGGACCCTCGCTTTCACACAGCATGCTGCTGGGAGACCACAGGCCTTTGGCATAAATCACTGGAACACACACAGGCGAGGGCAGGCCTGCTGCAGCTCTATATGAATCGCTGCCTGGACCTGCCTACATCTTCTACAGCTCTATAGTGAGTGGTACTCATACCTGCTATAGCCCTGCAACCACATACCAGCCACACCTGCTACAAGCTCTACAACCACAGCCAGTTACACCTGTTACAGCCCTGCAACTACAGCCAGCTACACCTGTTGCAGCACTGCAACTACAGCCAGCTACACCTGTTACAGCACTGCAACTACAGCCAGCTACACCTGTGACAGCCCTGTAACCACAGCCAGCTACACCTGTGACAGCACTGCAACCACAGCCAGCTACACCTGTTACAGCCCTGTAACCACAGCCAGCTACACCTGCTACAGCCCTGCAACCACAGCCAGCTACACCTGTGACAGCCCTGTAACCACAGCCAGCTACACCTGTTACAGCACTGCAACCACAGCCAGCTACACCTGTTACAGCACTGCAACCACAGCCAGCTACACCTGTTACAGCACTGCAACCACAGCCAGCTACACCTGTGACAGCACTGCAGCCACAGCCAGCTACACCTGTTACAGCACTGCA